CGTAGTTTTCTCCTTGCATTATATTCAACATTCTCGGGGAAGAACTGCAGGCATATAGCTGCCTTCAGTTCGGCCCATGTCTCGAGAGCATCTTCACCGGCCTTGATGGCTTCGTACTTCACACGCCACCAGAGTTTAGCATCACCCTGAAGATACATGGCAGCAGTTGCTACCTTCTTAGCTTCCTCCAGATCCCCAACAGCATCGAAATACTGTTCGACGTCAAAGATGAAGTTTTCCACTTCCTTGGCATTCCTAGCTCCACTGTATGGCTTTGGCTCAGGAATTTTCAGCTTCTTTGTCGCGGAAGCGGAGTTCACAGCACCTCCGATTTGGTTTCCACCACCTCGGAGTAGACCCTGTAACGCAGAGTTGACAACATTGAGTTGGTCTGTCAATTTGTCAATGGTTTGTTGCATGGCAGTCACCTTTTCTGCCTCTTGTGCCCTGTGGGCTAAATCCTCGGTGCGCTCCTGTTGGAGCCCCTCGAATTTCTCAAAGATTTCGGCTGCCTCTGTGGCTGCCGTCTGCCGGTCTCCCTCGGAGTCGCGACTGATGTTTTCAACGTCAACTTCGACCTGAAGCACCCTGCGGTCCAGGTCGTCCAACCTTTGCAGTAGGCTGGTTCTTAGTTCAGGCACCGTATCCATAATAGGCCGCCATACCTCAACCGTCCCTTCGAGGGCCGCAATGCGGTCCCCATGATTCACCATGGTCAGAAATGGTGGTATGTCAATACGTTCCCTCGTCCGATGTCGAGCCTAGGCTCTGATACCAACTGTTACGCGGCGCCTTCCTGAGATTCCTTGGAAGGGCGACGTAAGGCTAGGCAACTGATGTCAGTGCAGTTGCTGTCCGCCAACTGAGGTCCCCTCCGTACGCTAGACGAGATTGTCAGTGCCGTACGGGAAAACCAATGTCAAGAGCAATTGAGAGAACAGAAATGAGAATTCAGAATGAAAGAAAGCTTGATTGCATTAATGAAAGCTATTACAGAAAAGCAACGCGGTGTCGAGGGGGAGAGACACCAGTATAGAGAATTGCTTGCTTGCTAGAAACAGGACTAGACTTGATTAAGCTAGAGAAACATAATGGAAGTACATGAAATAAAACTACTCTATATTTACAATGAAAATGACTTAGTTTTCTATAAGGCAGCAGCAGGTCCGTTGTCAGCAGCAGTGTCTTTGGCATCACGGTCTGCGCGGGCGGCGCTGTTGGCTTCTGCCTGCGGCTTGGCGCTCGCGAGGGATATCGGTGGGGCGACAGAGGCACCTGCGCGCTTGTCACTTGGCGCGGCCAAGACCACGGGGCCGTCCGTGGCGCTAGGCATTGGGAGGTTCGCTAGGACGCCACGGGGCGCGCCCAAGGGGTCATGGGGCATGGCTGGAAAGCCGCCCATGACAGTGTGTGTGTGTGTGTGTTCTTTTTCTTCTTTTTTTGTTTGGGGAAGGAGGGGGGTGGGGACGGGTCAGGGACATTCCTTCTGTTCTCTTGGACATAATTTGCACATATCCTTGCAGTTTAAAGTGAAGTAAAGCTTTTCCAACTCTAAGATTTTACTCTAATTATTCTGAATTTCTGATAAATGCAGGTTAGAGCTTAAAGGTAATAAATTTGTCCTTGGAGAGTTTCTGGAGTTCAAAGGGGACAATGAAGATATTCAAGCATTGGGAAACATCAGGAGATCAAAAGTTAGTAAAGTGACGATCCAGAAAACAAGCATGTTAGGTGTAGGTAAGGAAATAATAATTGTGGTAGATAGCAAATGCATTCGCCTGATCATGGAGATAACCTTGTGATAATTTCTTCGGTTATTTTACATTCTATATTCCTTGAATCTAAGAAATCTTTTGTTGCTTTGGGAGTTGCAGCGAGTTCCAAGCTCCAAGTTCTCTATTGTCCTCGAGATTATCGTGGTGAAGGGGCATCAGCTTCTGACTGGAAAGAAGTCACTGTCCATTCCAGGACAGAGATTAAAATTCTACCAAAAGGTTCAACTAAAGCACGCAAATACAAGTTATCCTCGGTTATTTCCCTGTCATTAAGTGCCTGATCTGTCCTCGTGGGCATTTGATCGTTGAGATGGAAGTGGTGTAATAAAAATGTTCAACTAGGCTGAACCTCGTTTTACCTCGAGAATTACTAAGCTGATGTGCATATCCCTTAAGGAGCAGCAATGCTGGGTCAATGTAATGCAGATAGTTTTCTCTTAGTTCTTTCCCTCGATAAAACATTGCTGACACAGAGCACTAAGGAGTAGAAAACTTATAGGGAGGATGGTATGACGGTACAAAATTCTGGTATGAGAGAGCAAATTGTGTAATGTTTGTAGGATTTAACTTATATACATTAAGAGTACAGAGTACTTTTACACTATCCTATTGTAGTAAGTATAACTTGCCTTATTTTCCGGAGCACCACTCCAACTTATGGATGGTTACCTATTGTTATCTTTGGGCGATTCGAAGTGTTACTTCTTTACACTGTTAACAGAGTATAAAAGTTAAACCCATGTTTTAAATTCAATTGTTTGCTAATTAAGATACTGGGTGGGTCATAATTTCTCTGGTTGATTGCTTGAATTGCCCTCCGCAAAAGATGCACAATATCAGATTGAGTGTTATACTTTTAGCTAAATATCCACTTGGCGAGGCCAAATTACAGAGGCATGCGATCGATTAATGTTAGGAGTAATTGCAGCCATATTATAAAAAGAGGCATTAGGGACAAAACATCCATTCTAATCAATTTCATTGTATAGTAATTTGCAAGTAAAATGGTGCTAGCTATTGATACATATATCAAGGCTTGCCTCTACGCAAAATGCTTCTGTTTGTCATTTAACATTTCTGTCATGCTGTATATGCAACTTTGTTGAAAGTCCAATTTGTAACAAACTTATGATGAGGTCTTGAACCTCAAAAATCTATCTAAATTTTGAGGGAGCTCTTCTCGTCTCCTTGGGGCACAATAATACTCCTCAATTTTTCTCAATTAGTTTTGTTGGAGCCATACTTTATACACAGAAATGGCATCAATCAATAGACTTGGACACCTGATCCAGTATCAAATTCCATCATCAGCTTGTTTAGTTTCTGGTTGCTGATCCTTTGCTCATAGACAATATCATCCTCCAAACTGCAGTTTATGCACAAATGAGAAACAACGAAATCGAGGGTGGTTACTACAAATGACGATTGAAGAAGATGATGGTATTTACCTATCTGTTTTTGATGAAGCTGAAGGAGGCAGAAGCATGTCGGCTAGTGTAGTAGCATCTTTGCTGGAGTTTATGACTCTGTTGAAGCATAAGTATCGTCCGTAAGAGGAAACATCCTCAAACACACACATATGGGCATCTACTAAGAAATTCAGGTCCACTGCAACAAAAACACCACCTTCATACATTTCAGCTGCTCCCTTCAAGTAAGGTTCTCTGATATTAAGGTCTGGATGAATTAACAACCCTCCGTTAACGGATACCATGCTTACTCCTCGGTCCATTGCCAATGCCCATGCAGCTTTCTCTGCTTGTGTCTTTGATAGCCCGTGCCATAACTGCCATACCAATTCATGTTAGACTTTGGTGGTGTTTGAGTAAAGCTTATAAGCAGGTCAAACTAGGTTATAATCACTTTCTACTTTCCTATACATCAGGTGAACGTTATAAGTACTGATACGTCAAGTGTGTGCAAGCAAAATCAGCCAAAAGTCATAAGTTGAGCTTACAAGCATTTTTGTTTAACCAAATTTTTTACTATTTTATTCCTTATATTTATTGCAATCTCCGAATAACCTCCTTAAAACAATACCCTTATCTCCCTCCCAATTCCATTTCCGTCATACGTCCTTTTTCAATTATCAGTTTCAGCACTTCTATCCATTACGTAATTGCTTATTTGTAAAATCAGTTTCATCATTTAATGCTTACTCGCTAGGCTGTTTCGCAGCTTCTTGTTGCCAAATCGTGGAGGATTGAATAGGTAAATTACCTTGTATTTTTTGCAAAAGCTGATGTCGGTCCAGTCTCTTTCATCAACGCAAGAATGAGAATGGGAAGTGTCATGTTGGTCCCTCTTCCTTGTGCCCCATAACACAGCTGTGGCAGAGGATGTAAAGACTACCTTGTTTAAGGTATCTGTTTGTGCACAGGCTTCCATCACATTATGAGCTGCTCTCACTTCCATTTCTCCCATTAATTCCTGCAACATAACTCAAACACTTTTAGTTGGCACATTGACTTCAATGTAAAAAAGAAAAGCAGGAAAACGAGAGTAAAATTGAGTAATCATTCTTGTTCCAAATACAATGATGGAAAACAAGTACAACAACAACAGACCCATTATATTCTCACAGGTGGGGTCTGTGGAGGGTAGTGTATACGCAGACCTTACCCCTACCTACTGAAGGTAGAGAGGACATGGAAAACAAGTACAGTAATTGTGGAATAACTCACGTCGTAGGTAGGATAATCGGAGGGAGGCTCGAAAGAGTAAAACAAGCCACAGCAGCCTTTGAGAGCATCCACTATGCTGTGATAATCCAAAGGATCAGCATGAAAACATATCAACTTCTTACTTCTACTTTCATCCACATTTCCACCAGCATATTTTCTCTTAAAACGCTGCATTTCATCTGTCCAAATTGAAAATTCAGGATCAGGTTTTCAACTACTGTATTTATGTCATTAGTATACTATCAACAATTGGGGAAGAAGAACTGTCCTGATTGATAACGGTGAAACTAAAACAATAATCTCCCTCCGTTTCATTTTGTTTGACATGGTTCGACTTGGCACAAAATTTAATAAAGACAGAATTTTTAAAAAACTTATAGTCTTAAATACGCCATAACATTTGTGGATCTTAAGGGAAGAAACGAACCATGATTTTGAAAAGCGGCATGGACAGTGTAACCTCTGAGCAAGAGACGGTGTACGAGTGTGGATCCAAGCTGACCAGCTGCCTCCATTACACAAACTTTCTTTGAACAAAACATTGAATCCTGCTCATTATACAAGTCTTGTGCAATATTCATGACTACCCTGGCCAAGTAAGAAGTAACTCCTTTTTCTCCTTTAAAATGTCAAGTACAACTTTCTTTAGCTGGACAAATTGAAAAAAGCAGAAGCTAGTAATAATAGGATAAGAAAAAGTGAGATGGTATTTAAAGAAGAAGGAAACTAAACCATTAAAAGAGTGTGTGGTTAAGTAGATGGTTGGCAAACGAATTGCAGAAGTAGTTAGATACAGCCAATACCAAACTACTACAACAATAACAAACTCAGTATAATCTCACAATTGGGATTTGGGAAGGGTCGATACAGAGGCGGACCCATGTTATGGGTGGGGGGTCACCGGACCCCGTAAACTTTGGCCGAAATCCGGTATATATACACGTATATACCTTGAAAATGGTTAATTTAAAGCAGCTGAAACCCTAGACACTATAAGAATTTAGGGGCACTGGTTGAGCAGAATAAGGTACCTCCGTCGCGTAAAAATTTTGGATCCGCCTCTGGGTATATAGTACACAGACCTCGGCACGAGAAAAAATGAGAAAAGAGCAATAGCAACAAGCAATAACACGAACAAGATAAAAGAAAACAAGGCGAAAAGAACAACATGTAGTAGTGATAGACAGCCTATACCCAGGGGCGGATCTAGCCTGTCATATACGGGTTCCCCTGAACCCAGTAGCTTTTGTCCAAACAGTGTAAATGTGTTCTAAAAATTCATTAAATATCTACAAATATTTAAATGTGAACCCAGTTACTATTAAAAATTTACTCGAAATCGTAGCAGGAACCCATAAACATTAAATCCTCGATCCGCCTACCAAACTACTGAAGAAAAAATGGTGTTTTGATAAATCACTAAATCTGCATTAAATTCGTCACCTATGTGGGCTCTATTTATGTGTACAACACAAGAACTTACCTAACTGTCAATGAGCAGACGACAGAAAGACAAACTAAGAAATGGGAAGAAATTGGGGCTACTTTTTAAAATCATGTGGCTCAAAATTCAAATTACAGAATGCTGAATTCTGATTTCCGAATTCTTTGCTGTTCACACGCAAAACATTTAATGTGATAGCCTAATTTAGTCAAAACGTAGAAAGGGAGAAAACTTACATACTTGATGCAACATGTTATTTTTTTCAAAAATTAGTTGAGTGTTGTTGTCTGCCCTCTTTAATTTGGTTGCATTATTTATTGATCTCAAGGGCTGTGCAAGCTGGCATAACCTCAGAGAAATTTATTCAAAAGTTTATTAATAGTTATTTTTCTGTTTTATTTTTAATAATAATAAATACTAGTTATTAAAAGTTGAACTTGATTATGGTTGGTGTAATTGCCGGCCACCCTCGTTAATCACACATAGACTGTTCTTCTTGTTCATCTCTCTTGCGAGACTCTTATAGCCTGTTTGGCCAATCCGGAGAAATCAGCTTATTTTGAGAAATACTTTTTTTAAAAGTGTTTTTAAAAAAAGTATTTTTGGAGAGAATCAGTTTGTGTTTAGCTAAATTATTCTGAAAAGCACTTTTGAGCAATAATTTGTGTTTGGCCAAACTTTTCAGAAAGTGTTTTTAAATATCAAATTACGAATAAGGACATGAATAGATTTACTTTATACTTATATTATAAGTAAATAAATAATCTCAAAAATTTGTTATTACATGCAATAATTAAATCTTTTCATTTTGTTTAAGTAAAATATGAAAATAAAATTAAAAAGTACTTAATTCTTTTAATATAAGTTAAATATATTAAAAATCATTCAACAAATATAAAAGCATTCACCGCTAAAGTCACTATATATTAGAAAGCTATCCTAAAATTAAGAAGAAATATTTATACATTAATATCTAAGTATTAGGTTTAACGGTTATTTTGGTATATACTACAAGGGTATTTTTGGTAACAAGAAAAGTCAAAACTGCTTCTGATTCTGCTTTTGGAAGAAGCTACTTTTTTCTGCTTTTCAGAAACTGCTTCTGCTTTCTTCCAAAAGCACTTTTTTCCTCAAAAAAACTTGGCCAAACACCTCAAGTTAGGGGAAAAAAGTGCTTTCGGAAAAAAAGCACTTTTGGCCTCTTGAGAAGCTTGACCAAATAGGCTATTAAACTAGTCCCAATTTTTAGTGGTATTAATAGAAAAAAAGAAAGAATATATATATATATATATATA